GGTTCCACTGGGGCTGCGTATCTCATTCTGTAACACCCGACCCTTCTATCGAGACCGGCGAGTCAGGCGCAGACGTGCTAGAAACTATCGATAAATGGCACTGTGGCACATGTCTCGCCGCGCACCCAACCAAGAAGATAACCTTCAAGCATCTCCAACCCACGCGCAAGTCCACACGACGTAGTACGCGGAATCAAGCGTCAACAGACACCGATGGAGGGGGCGCAGGAGCCAGTGGAAGTGGTGGAAACGGAGGTGCCGGTGGTAGTACTAGCAGCAACGGAGCAGCAGCATCAGACTCGACTAGTAAACCACCGGAGACCAACAAATGGGTCAAAATGCTCTCTACCAAGCCTATAGTTCCAGACACTTTCAAGCGCATGAGCGGCGCAGACGTCCATCGCGCCTGGGCCGAATCCGATCCGACGGCGTTCACCGAGCCTGTCGTCGTTCCAGCCGAGTCTATCGAAGGCCTAGGACTCAAAATGCCTGAATACACGGATACCTCATTCCCGCCTGAACAGCACACGTTCACCGTGTCGGACGTCGCGCGTATCATGGGCCCAGAGACGCCGGTCCAGGTCATCGACGTCGTTTCCCAGTCGTCGTCGCCTGGATGGACGCTTGGCCGGTGGGCAAGCTACTTCCATACGCCCGTGGAGAAGAGGAAGAAGGTACTGAATGTGATTAGCTTGGAGATATCGGATTGTAAGGAGCTGGCGGGGATGATAGAGCCGCCGAGGGTGGTGAGGGAGTGCGATTGGGTGGAACGCTTTTGGCCGAGGACACCGCCTGCACCCGTGAAGAAGGCCGCGAAGGGCAAAGGCAAGGCCGCCGCTGCGCCAGGGCCGGGAGAGAAGGAGGCGCCGTACCCCAAAGTACAGTTATACTGCCTTATGGGCGTTGCGAGAGCGTGGACGGTACGTCTCGTCTCGCGGTCATTACTAGACTTTATCTCATCACTTCATTAGGATTGGCACGTCGACTTTGCCGGGAGTTCAGTGTACTACCACATCTACCGCGGCCGAAAGACTTTCTACTTCATCCGACCAACACCACACAACCTCGCTGCGTACACCAAATGGTCCTCGACGCCTATCCAATCAACAACCTGGTTAGGCGACCTCTGTGCACAACCACCGAAGCCCGCCGTCAATGGTCACGATCCACAAGAGAACGACGCCAACGTCTATAGGGTGGAGCTGAAAGCGGGCGATACAATGATTATCCCGGCTGGGTGGATTCATGCCGTTTACACACCGGAAGACACGCTGGTTTTCGGTGGGAACTTCTTGCAAGGCTTGGGCTGTGCAATGCGTGAGTAATCTGTTCTTATCATCCACGTCCTGTGCTCACGATCCTCCAGAGCTCAAAGTCCGCCAAATTGAGATCGCCACTAAAGTTCCACGAACCTTCCGATTCCCTCACTTCTCCAGGTACGCTAGCCTCTTCTTTGCCTTACCGTATACTCACTCACTTAACTTCCACTGATGCCCACAGACTCTGCTGGCACGTCGCCTCCTCATACGTCGCCCGTCTCCGCGCCGAACAATCCCTCTCCCACCTCCACCCCACCGACAAAACCAAACCCAAAGACATCTCACCCCCACCCACCTATCCGCGCCCAGCAGATGACACCCTCCACCCCCGCCTCCTCCGCTCCCTCCTCGCCGTCGCAGACTTCCTCCTCGAAGAATCCCGCCTTGTCGAATCCTCCGCGCGAATTACCTCTCGCGCGTCTTCCCATCCACCTGGGGATCATCCGCCCTCTGGATCGTCCACCCGTGCCAACGGCACCCCGAATCCCGACCATCATGGGGGAGGCAAGGGCGAGAAAGAAACGCCAGCGATGAAAGAAGCCAAAGAAGCCGTACCCTTCTCCTACGTCGAGGATCCCAGCTCGCTCGCGAGGGAGTTCAGGTGGAGGTTGAAGTTGGCGATTGACGGGGACGAGGGAGGGAGCAGTGATGCTGAGGAGGAATATGATGTCGTTGGGACGAAGAGGAAGGTGCTCCCTGCCAGTGCGAAGGCTGGGCAGGGACAGGGGAAGAGGGTGAAGATTGAGAATGAGCCAACGCCGTCTCCGACGACGAGGCAGGTTGAAGTGAAGGTGTTTAGGAATTTCAGGCCGAAGCGGTGGGATTATGTTCACGAGTCGGGGTCTGCAACGGGGCAGGAGGAGTTGGGTATGGAGTCGAAGGCTTCAGGGAGCGATGTGATTTTGAGGAGAGCCGTGCCGAAGCAGGTTACGATTCCACCAGCGCCTTCAGAGGGCACGAGCGCAGTCAACGGAAACGGCACGTCGTCGTCACCGTCATGGGAAATTTGGAACAGTCTCCTCGACGGCACCGACCCCCTTCTAGCCAACGGTTCCTCAGCACCCATGGACGTCGACATCTCAGGCCCTTCCACTTCTTCGTCACAACACTCAGCGAACCGCGTCCACCGACACACGGAGACTCTCGTAAAGCTGCGACGGACGGAGAAAGGGTTTGAGAGGCAGATAGTCGAGAGGGTGCTGGAGAATTGGACTCTTGTCGAGGATGAGGGCGAGGTTGATGTGCCCTATGTTCCCGTTGCTGTGCCCGATACTCCCGGTGAAGCGACTGTGGCGAATGAGGATCTAACCATGGTAGATGTTGCCCAGGGGCAGATTGAAGTGGAACCAGGAGAGGCGGATGTGGTTATGGACTTGCCGCTCCCGCCTTTACCTCAGGAAGTCGAGGGCGGTAGTGTTCCAGAAGTCGAGGGTGGTGGTGTCCCGGAAATCGAGGGCGGCAGTGTTGCCAATGCTGCTGCTGATGTGGGGACGGGTATGGACGAGGGGGCTAGGATGATTACGGTGGATGAGCATCAGACGCCTGTGGTGGATGTTGCATCTTAGATTAGTGTTTTGCGACGCGCTGTATTTTATCCTACTTTATTTGATATGGTATTGCACCCATAGTTCTTCTGTCTCCCTCTTCCATGAGCACTGAAACTCTGGTGCCTGATCATGTCCTCGTCGAAGCTATCGCTTTGGTTCAATTCTTCGGAGAGGTAACAACAGATACACAAGATACAATTTCATGTTCGACGAGAGGTCATTACGGTCCCCCCGAGCTCATGTCATTAATATTCCCCTCCGAGTCAAAGGCCGTCCTCTTACACCACTCCCTCTGCGCATCCCACGTCCTCCTTAACGACTCAATCTTCCTACTCGTCGCCTCCCAAGAATCCCCCCCCAACACAAACCTCTTAAACCTCTTCCCATCCACATCCCGCATCGCCTCCCTCCCCGTCGCAACCTGCACAATCACCTCGGCCGCCTTATCCGGATCCCCCGGCGCACTCCCTCCAAGCTCTGCGATCCAGTCCAACCTCTCACCTACGACGTGCCTGTTCTTCGCGTACGGGCTGGTTTCTTTGTCGAGGACTACGTCTGCACCGGCCTGTCCGAACGCTGTTCGGAACGCGCCTAGTTCCATTAGAACTACACGGATTCCGAACGGCTCGACCTCCTCTGCCAGCGCCTCCGTAACAGCTTCCAGCGCAAATTTGCTCGCTGCGTAGATCCCATTCCCAGCGCTGGCGATGATCCCCTGTGCCGAAGAAATATTCACTATTACGCCGTCTTCGCGCGCGCGCATGTGTGGGAGGAGGAGCTGTGTGAGGCGAAGGGGGCCGTGGAAGTTGGTGTTCATCTGCTCGAGAACTTTGGAGGGGGGTATGTCTTCAATGGAGCCGAGGACGCAGTAGGCTGCGTTGTTGATGAGGACGTCGATGGATGAGGCGGGGGAGAAGGCGAGGGCGTTGGTTATGGTCGATGTGAGACGTTCATCGGGCCAGGTGAGGTCGAGGGGGAGGTAGTGGAGGGTCGGTGAGGCGCCTTTGTTGGTGTTGTCGGGGGGCAGGAGTGCTGAGAGGGACAAGGGGATGGAGGGGCTGCGGGAGGTGGCGATTACGTGGTGACCCAGGGAGAGGATGTGACGGACTAGGGAGAGACCGATGCCTTGTGAGGTGCCGGTGACAAGGAAGACGAGAGGGCTGGGTGGGGCTAAAGAAGCCATGGTTGGTGGGGACGGATTGAGGTATTACAAGCGGGTGCGCTGTTATATACGCACGTATCTCTGCAGGATTATGTTTAAGACAGTAGGAGGACCAATCTCCATTTGCTGCCGAGCTCTTGCGTAGCGGGCGGCAGTGTAGATCTGCAGATGACATGTATGACCCTTTGTCCATGGCGTAAAGCATAGAACAAGTGGTGTGCTGGGTTGCTTGTCACCTCAGAGGGACTGGTGTATTGCTCGGCGCCGGTGTTACGTCGACGTCTGGCTTGATAAGACGGAGCGCTGAGACTATCTGCGATGTAGATTGCTTTGATAACATTGAACATGGGTAAAGCACAGTTAGATGGACAGAGGAAGAGAGCGCAGTGACATATCCGGCTAGCATTGAAGGCACGTATGCAACATCGGGAATAGTTTGTACGGTTGACAAAATCCGCTCATCTGTCTCAACAAACTGGTGCCAGTGGGAGTTGAGTGGGAGGAAGGGTGCAGTCATGGACATGATCGCGACGTCGCTGAGGAGTGCAAGCAGCCGTTGCAATTGCACTGCGTATTCATACAGTATCTTGGAGTCTGCGATATTCGCAGTCGTTGCAAAGGACATTTTGGTGCCTTTTCAAGGCGGACTCTTACTGACGGTCGGAATGACTCTCAGAGCCTTTCTCTTAGCTCATGATCAGTGGTAGACCATGCGATTTAGTAGTACGCGCAGCGAGCTACCAGTCCCACTGGGCTAAGAGTCCCAAAGTTCCGCTCGCCTTCGTGCAGTACTCACCACTGGCACCAACACAGAGCGACCTATCCTGCCTCCCGAATGTGACGTCGCATTTATTGCTCTGCAGCAATACCCATCAGCCCATACTGTAACCACCGCTGCCTCCCGTTGACTTTTGTCCTGTCTGTGTCATATTTTAACTGAATTGAATTTTAGCAGCGTGGCAAGTGTACATGGTTCTCTTAGCTCAGTGGTAGAGCGTGCGATTGCAATTTCACAACTAGCGTCTCTGATCCATCGCGAGGCCGCGTGTTCGAACCACGCAGAGAACTGATTTTTGCACTTCATCATTGGTTGCAGCTACTTAGTTGGGTGAGCGCCATGCGAATCCGATCCTACAACAGCTGCCCAAATGCCTAAACCAAATGTGATCGTCGTGGCTGTCCCCACTCGCGGCTTGCGATAAACTGACTGCTATGAATGTGTCAATCATGAGGTCAGTAGCTTTGTGACCATCACCCCGTGCCACTACCGACTTACGCTCACTACAAAATTTCCGCCGTCTTCTCGTCCTCGCATCCTTCAGCCAGGGTGTTTACAATCGCTTTGCAGTCAACTAAAACAGTTGTTCGAGAACATACATACCCTATCTAAAGATTGAAATTTGAGAGATTTGCTGCTCTGATCTCACCAGGACTGAAGTGAATCCAAACATGTAGTTATCTGGGGAGCGCTATGTAGCTTCCAAAGGGCCGGCGCCTTTTGTGGTTCTTACGGTTATGTCGGCGCTCCCCAATAATGAACATCGTACTTACTTATAGCAGACGCGTGAGATACAGTACCAAGGAAGTAACTATAAGTAGATGAGATGTATTCACTCATAACATCGGAGAGCCTATGCTTTACAAGTATATACACGAGACTCAAGTACATGATTGGGGGATCCTATCAGCCAGAGGTAAGACTACAGTAGGTGAGATAAATGCAGGTAACTCTGGTCGAATTTCGTAGGTAAGGTGAATTTCTACATAGCTTTGTACTTGCGGTGACTCGAGTAGGTCGGAAAGTTACATGCTTGAACACTGCATTATCTAGGGACGAGAGCGCTCACCCTACCCAGGGGACTTCCCCCCTGGACACATAATTACAGTAGACTGTAGTAGCCGTTGCTCGTGCACTCACACTCGTCAGACTCGTCTTATATAATTTACTTGCCCGATGTCGTTAGCTGCTCAGGTCCTCCGTTTAACTCATGCTGCTGGAAGAACTGCACGCGCATAATCATTTTGACGCTCAGCTGTACATGTATGTAAGCTGAACCTACAGCTGATATTGGAAGAAAGGGTATCATCCACCGCTAAACGAACTAATTGCGACTGAAGGCAAGAAGCCGCGTAAGGTTGACATTTCCTCGCCAGCCCTGTACGTTATATTCGTGATGCATCTCTCTGTGCAAGAAGTATCCCTCACGACCCAGTTTACTACCGGAGTGCATCTCATCCCTGGCTTGTTCCCGAGGGATGGGAAAATATGGCGAGAGATATTGGACTTGTGGGCTTGCACACGCGGTGATACATGTGGGTGCAACATCATATGTTCAACGGAGGTTTGGGCTATGAAAGAGAGCGAACACCGATAGTCAGGACTCTAGAGGAAAAACACATGGTAGCAGGAGCATTCTGACCTTGTAGCGGTCGAAGGGTGCCTCTATAATAGGCGTACATAGTGTCCTCACTACAAGTGTGAGGAGATCTAGAGTGCCCACACTTTAATCGCCTAGACACGAAGGTGTGCAGAGACCTGAGATGAGAGACAAAGTAGAGAGGGTGTAAAGTCGGCCGCTAGTTCTGAGAGGGCAAGTCGACTTCAGGCACTGCGTGCCGTGTGGTAAGTTTTCAAGTCCACCCCAAACTGTAAGAGGAATGGTCGGCTCCAGTTCTATTGTGGTGAGTAATCCAGGTATCATAGCAGCAGTAGTCTGAGCATTCAATCTTCCTGGTACAGTGTATAGTGGTAGTATGATTTAGCGGGTCAGCCGACAAGACGCTCGGGTGGTTTGGGCTAGGTTTGGGACAAGCATGGGATGAATTTTGCATGCATCATGAAAGTGAGTGTCCAGAAGCACTGTACTGTGGCTTGGCATGTGATCCTCGGCGTCTCTTCTCCAGCCGCCACAGTCTACAGATCTCCGGCGCGGAATCCGTCCAATAACTTGAATAAGCACTCGACACCAGCTTTATTATAACTCCCATTCGACTATTTATCACGACGACAGACGAGGAACACGACAACGACGACTAACGGATGAACATGGATACCCCAACGTCCACGCTGGACTCGACTTCCACGCGCGATGGCTTACTCATGCCCTCCTTAGAGGGTACCTCAACCCAAACGTCACTGGCGACCCAATCCAGCGTAGAACAGAGTGCTTCTCGACCTTTGAACTGCGATCCAGCTTCTGCTGCTGTGCCGGCCCCTCCGCCCACTCCCTCTCCGCCTGTAGGAATTCCAAAGACGTACCGAGCACAGGATGCACTCAAGGACATACCCGGCACGGCGCATGCTCTGGAACTCTTCCTTGCGAGCAAGATGGTGGAGAGCGAGGAGTATTGTGATACCATGGACCCCAAGAAGTGGGTGCTCTCCTTGTTCCCCATTATGCTGCTGCAGTACTGATGGACCTTACCGGTACTCAGGGAACGCCTGTACTTCTCAACAGGGTTTAGCCTCATCCAGTGTGTGAAAGGCTTCATGTCCTACGAAGACGAGGTGTGTTGTCCTATGCTATAGCTTGAGAAAGGCCTTTGTTGATCTTTCGTTAACGTTGCAGGATCTACTTTCAGCTCTCACACACTGCAAGCACGGACACACCATCGCCACCAAGCATCGGAAGGTTGCTGGAGCGTTCAGTGGTCTTACCAGTCGTTTGTGGGGCGGTAGTGGTGAAGACTGGATTACAGGCATGACGAACGTGGAGAGGCACGCCGAGCTTGTCTACGCTGAAAGTCTGTTCGAGAAGGTGGGTACTTCTTGTGGTCTTGACGAACCGACAGGAATCTAAAGATCGTTATGACTTAGGCATTACTAGGCGTCGTATACTCCGGGGATTGGTTGTCGTTTATTAAGGAAGCGTAAGTTTACCTGGTCTACACCATCACTGACAAAAGTGCCACAACTGAAGACTTTCACCAGCCTCAATATGCGGTCAACGATTACTGTATACCGTGCCCTTGGTCAATTCGTGACCAATGCCGACGCTCGTCATCCCAGCGGTAGAGACCCAAATATCGACGAGCATTTCCGATCAGGCGTCGATCTTGGGAATGGTCAGTGGTCCCTGAATCTTTTGTCCCAAGAGCCTTCCGACACCATCCTAAAATACTGTTGTACGCAGGTTGTAGCCATCTGGTTCTGAGCCTTCTTCCAGCTCGGCTCGCTGCTGTGATCGAACTGTTCGGTTACAAAGGCGACCGAGATCTTGGTCTCAAACTACTCATGAGACCAGGTGGTTGGGGTGAGGGTGAGGAGGTGGTAAGTGCCGGTTAGTCATCTGTTCCTCTTCTGCAAGAGTAAAATATTCTGAACGTTTGACTTATCCAGAGAAAGAAGGCGTGCGACGGACAGTCTGTGATATGATTCTCCTCATCTTCCACCTTGTCATCTCGAGCTTTACGTTCGAGGGCGTTAACATGGCAATGGCACGACGGATTCTGGATTGGAATCTGCGACGTTATCCTACCGGTAAACACACCTTCTCTCCTCACTTTCATGTTGGAGGTGCTAACATAGGAACCAGGTGTCTTCTTCCTGTTCGGCGCAGGTCGACTGTCGTTGATGCGATCACGACCAGCACAAGCCATTGCCTACTATAACCAGGCAATGGCAGTCCAGAGCCAGTACCGTAACCTCCACCACATTTCGTTTTGGGAGAACGCGATTGCGAACTTGGCGCTGTGGGAGGTCAAGGAAAGTTACCTCTGCTGGGAGGTGCTCTCAGAGGAAGCGACAGTAAGTCACGAGCCCAATACGCGGCCTCGAACGCCAACAGTTGACACATCTCCTTGCCAGTGGTCGAAATCAATCTACGCCTACGGCACCGCTATATGTGCCCTCCAGCTATCTACAACCGCGACTTCGGAGAAGGAGGCATTCGACCTTGTGGCAGAGGCGAAACGACTCATGGGTCTTGTCCCAACACTCCGTCAACGCATCGCGGGCAAATCCATTCCCCTAGAGAAATTTGTAGCCCGAAAAGCCCGCAAATTTCTCGATCAAGGTAACCGCTTGATCCTGCCCGCTCTCGAGCTGGCGTACATCTTCCTGGCAATCGCGCACGCCCCACGACGCGTGATCGTAGAGCGGATGTTACAGGAAACGGACGCAGCTCTGAAGTCGCTCGAGGAGAAACGTCAGAAGATCAGCGATCATGGCAAGAGCGGCAAAGTATCCAAGAAGAGCAAAGACCAAGAACAAGGTCTCGGGCAAGCATACTGGGACGATTGGTGCTTGGCTGCGTTCTTGAAGGGCGTTTGCTTTCGCTACATCGCCTTCCCTGATCCTGATGCTGAGGTTGATCCCGAGGAGAAGCACATCGGGCTTGGAGAGGGTTTGGAGACGAAGGAGAAGATTGGGGAGGCGGCGAAGAAGGCGTTTGAGGAAGTTTTCAAGTATGGGCCGAAGATTGAGCTGGATCATCATCTCGTGTATCACGCTCGTACGTTGCTCAACCTCTTCAATCTTCTCTCGAGCGGCTTGGTAACATCTGAATTTGCAGACTACGAGCTCGGCAGACTGCTCGTACTGCTTGGAGACGTCGAGAGCGGGAAACATCACTTTGAACTTGTGCTGTCAGGGAAGCCTTTGGAGGTGAGCCTGACCGGGAAGAAGGGCAAGTATAGCTTGGAGGTGAGGTTGCTCTTGTTTGTGAACTCGAGGTGATTCTGACGCTGACGCCGCATCTTACTTCAGAATGCGTTACATATGCGCACATTCGCTGCTCACGAAGCCCTCACCCTTGCGCATGAGGCCAAGGACCGGTTATAAACAGCAACTGTAGATCTCCTCCCATACCGCACACCCCTTTGGTGTGGCTCCTCATTTTCAAAGGCGCATTCACCACACTGCACACGATAACATTTACTGCTCACATACTTATCTACCCTCAGACATATCTGAGCCTGATACCTACACGATTTACGGCGATATCTATACCCTCTGCGTAGGCTATTGTACAAGTACTCACCAAATAATAACATGTACACGACACCCACAATACTGTTTTCGACTTGGACTCCCTTCTCTACACGTGCGCATTACTGTACAGAGCGTC